TTCAAATCCCGGGCTTCATTTGCAAGTGCGGATGACTACATTACCCCCGCTAGTTCGAACTAGGGGGGTAGTGTAGACATACCCTTAGGGTTTGTCTGTCCAGCCTAATTCTTCCCTGGATGCAGCCTCTGAGGTTAGACCCTTCTCAGTTACCTTTACCCTTGCAAGTGTTACCAGATTTGCCCAATACTCTGGGGTATGCTCATTTATTAGGGTTACTCTTATGTGACTGGAGAGAGGTTAACAATTCTATCAGTGTGCTGCTTGTGCTTACTTGTGCTCTCATATGGAGCTGAAATCTCCCTGCTGCCAATTTCCCCTTCCACTGGAGCTCTCCTGCAGGAATTAGGTTCCTCAGGATGGGGTTCTTAGCAACACACACAGACACTCACACCCACTAACAGAGCACGCCTGAAAGGACTGGGTAATCAGCACTCACAAGTTGACCCCTCATATGTTTCTGGATTCAGCAGGCTGGGTTTAACAGCAATGCCATACTGCACCCTCATGAGCCTTTGGACTCAGTGGGCTGGATTAAACAACACTTTAAGCTGCCATCGTCATAAGCCCCCAGATTCAGCACCTTCTATCCCCATTTTCACACCACAATCATTCACTGGTAAACCACATGATGAGCAAACCCCACAGGATTTTGGGCACTACAGGGATCTTTAGCTTGGGTAAAAGAAGCGTTGCTGCAGAGTGAATGGGGAAGCCAAAACAACACCCCTTAAGAAAGAGTGAGCAAAAGAGAAAGAAAGAGAGAGAAGCAACCAGTTTAACAATGAAAGTGATTTATTTCTGAGTAGTGAATAGTATATAGCCAAATACACAAAAGAGTTACAATATTAAATCTAACAGTTACAATATTAAAACTAAATTGAAACTGATTACAAATGTTAGGGCTAGCTAACAATTTAACAGTTGACATAGCGCAGAGTCAGGATGGTATGCTTGGGAGAAATAAAGAGAAAGAGAGAGAGAGAGAGAGAGAGAAGGAGAGAGACCTCACCACTCCGTAGAGCTTGCACTGATTGGGGTTCCCAAATGGTGATGGGAGCTGGGGGTCCAGAGGGCAGGAGACGAGCAGAGCAGAGC